CAGAGATTGTTTTAATTTTGTCATTTTGTGAAGTTGGCGGCCCAGCGGCCTGGCGGCCAAAAATTTTAATGTTCTAGAAATGTTTTTTTAACAATAAAACGGCATTTAATGAAGTTTTTAAGATAATTATTGTTATTAAACGATATATCTAAAGAAAAAATCACTTTCAGAGATTTTTTTAATTTTGTCATTTTTGTGAAGTTGGCGGCCCAGCGGCCTGGCGGCCTAGCAGCCAAAAATTTTAATGTTGTAAAAATGTTTTTTTTAACAATAAAACGGCATTTAATGAAGTTTTAAAGATAATCATTGTCATTTAAAGGATATATAAAAAGAATAAATCACTTTAAGAGATTTTTTTTATTTTGTCATTTTTGTGAAGTTGGCGGCCCAGCGGCCTGACGGCCAAAAATTTTAATATTATTGAAATGTTATTTTAACAATAAAACGGCATTTAATGAAGTTTTAAAGATAAACATTGTTATTTTAAGGATTTATAAAAAGGAAAAATCACTTTCAGGGAACTTTTTTATTTTCTAATTTTCCATCGGGAACGAGCCTTAGCGTTTGTATTTCTCTATCCTCTATCCGACCCAATGATAGCTTATTTATCTCACTCACCTGGACACACAAGAAATCAGTGAAACTACTGGCTACGCGCATTACAACGTACCTAGTTTTGAAAAGCGGGGGCTTAGGCGCCTGACTTTCTATGATTAAAAAGCATTATGTACGTCCGCAGAAATTCTACTGACCAAGTTTATGTGTGATCCCTCATCAAAAAGCAAGGTTATCATGATAAAACACATCAATATTAAAGTTGGAAAGTGTCATAATATAAGTGTTTATAAGGAATTCAGTCGGTTGACAAAAAGCGTTTATCGTTTACAAAGCTTTTTCTACTTATTTGGTTAATTTGGCCGAATATTCAATTAAAATATATCAAAATGAGATTCGTCATCAACAAGCATCTATTATTGAGAGATAATAAATTATAAACCCCCTTCATCATTTCCGATACAGGACCTTATCTGTTTTAATGTTGGTTGAAACAGGTTTGTACCTTAAAGATTAAAGTGATAGCGTTTGTGTAGATGAGCTACGCAATTCGCGGGTCAGTGATTTCCCGCAAATATTACGAAAATTTTCAAACAATATTTTTTGTGTTTATTATTTATATCAGATACATAGGTAAATGTGTTGAGTACGTCTAAAATAATTATTTAGTGACGCAGTGGTCAAGTCAACTATAAGGGTGTAAAACAGTTATCATATTGTATTTATCATCTTTTAACGATACAAATAAACAAAAACTACCAATTTGCCAACTGTCCACTTAACGCAGTAGGTAAGACTGTCATTTAAATTTCTAGTTGAATATCAATGCAAGGCAGGTTCGATTCGCAAAAATTATTGCTGTATGAAGAATTTTTAAATGTACTACGATTACCTAATATTTATAATTTGAATATATGGATCAATATATAACATTATTTTTTACTTTTCTGATAATGCTTTCTCCTGATGTGTGGCGTTTTCTCTAACTGTACACAAGTGCATATCAACCCGTGTCCAAAAAATATCTGATGCATTTGTAACTATTTGAAACAAAACCGGTCAAATAAGAAAAAGATCCATTAGACAGCCAAATGTAATAGTACTTATATATATAACCATGATTCGACCATATATATATATGTCAGATATTTTTTCTTGCATATTGTAAATATTCCATTATATTTTTAATTCTTTATCTTTATTTTCAACGTAAATTGATATCATTACAGCCGTAACTATTTTCTTACAACAGCGTATGAAATTGCAACTTCATTCATAACGGAAAAATGACGACATCCTAAACGTGCCGTTGTACAGCATGCGACTCGTCTGGCACCCCCTCCCATGCCAGATGAAATTTCCGGCATGTGTAAAACACACGAAAACGCCTGTTTGCTATGCAACTCCATCATCTTCATAAATCATCGATCGGCTTAAACTATTTCGCAATACTTTTTGGCTCTTCTCCAATTTCAAGAGGTAGACTGGTACACTTGTCTCCGATCAATCGCAACTTTTTGGCCCTTTGATATTATTATAGATAATAGCCGAGGCAGTTCCGAATGTAGCTGAGGAGGCCTCAGACCACAATTAATTTCACTATATGTTCTATGTAAACATTAAACCCTGTGGCAATTTTACTAACTCTCCAATCAAATCAAAGTCACTTGTGCTCACAGTACCATCCAAGATAAATAATTCCAGCTATAGCAAACTAGGGGTCATGAATCATTTTTCCACAGCATTTCAGTTCAAAATACATCAGTCTGACAGTTTTCAGTAATTAGCCGGAACCATGTGAATTCTGTCATGTAGAAAAACACTAAAAAAATACTTACTCGCATAAAATCTGGATCAAAGTTGGCATTTACCAACTATTTGAAATGAATACTGTCAGGAAATGGCCTTTTTTCTATCTCTTTCATTCAATTATTCATTTATATCTGGCATTAAACACAGGCACTCTTTTATGCGGATTTACTTCCTTATTGGATTCCAGGACGTTCCGATTGTTCCCCTAGATTGGAGGTGGACTGGTTCTCTGTCGAGTATGTCTCATGTGTCCTACTGGGCTATATTTTTACGAGTTTTTCTCAAAGTTTACTGTACTTCACGCATCTTCATAATTATTTAGATGAAGATCAGCGCATCTTCATATATAAACGAAGAGGTGAAGATTGATATTGCGAAATAGCATGAATAATAAAAGAAATGCATTTCTAAATGGCCTATAGAAATTTTCTTACATAAAGTTTAAATTAAATTCCTTTCACGGCAAACATTCACGAATTCGAAAACCTAGGTTAACGCCGTTTTCCGGTACTTTCTTTACATAGCTGTGGGAAATTCCGTTAATGGAGTGTAATAACGAATTCTTCGTTTTTGGTCGTTATTGAATCAACAGATACTACTATGTAGGAAAATAATTAAATATCATTGTAGGAATAATTCCATACAAAAATAAAGTAAAATACGCAAGTTTAATCACAAAAAACTCTCGTTATTTATTATGAAAGATGCCACTACGACTGTTTAAATTTCATTGAATTCCATAATAAAGAATTCAATTTTATAAAAATTTGCAATAGTTGTTGAGGGAACATTGATACTTTTCAATCACGTCAAGTTTTTTCACCTTACACGGCGAAATAATGATAGAAAAGTAATGTTCCAGTGGTATGTACTTCATTTGGTGAAATTCCCCGGAGGTAAACCCGTAACATACCGGAAAATGGTGTGACGAATAAGTCTATAAACTGAAGTCAAAGTGAAGGAATCACATATTCATATATGAAGCAATAACCTTTTAAACATCTTAAATAGATCCATGGAAACAACATGTATTAAATAGGCGCTGTAATTGCGTTTGTTTTTTTGTTTTGTTTTTTCTTTCTTTCTCTTTTTTGCTGAAATCACGAGAGCCTGACCCGGTGCGTAGTTTGTGTAACGCACTTACGTGAGTACAATTTATCGAGGAAAATGAAAATAATATATAATATGATGTGAAATTATCAGCATAACAATTGTAGAGGCATACATATTTGATGTGTCGTATAATAGGTCAGGATGTGGCAACTATTGATCAAATGTTCTTCTTAAGTTCAGAGAATCTTTATGTTCATTAATGTGTTCGTTTAAACATATGCATTCTATATCTCTTTACATTTCAACACATTTTTATCTTTACAGACCTTAAATAAATATGCGTTGAACACTTTCAACTTCATTATAAACATATACATACAAACTTGCATATCATAAATAACTCACATGACGTCACTTATTGTCCAGAGACAGCGACATTATTAGCCGAGAAAATGTTCTAAGACTAAGACTACATCCTACTTTATTCGAAAACATGTTTAATCCCGCAAATTTCGAAGCGTCAGAATGAAAAATAAAATAAAGTTCAATATTTAAAAAAATAAAGATCGCGATACTGAAATGGTGGAATGGTCTAAGTATGTGCTACCGAGTCATTTCCGACGGTTTTCTTGTTTGTATTATCCTTAGTTTTCCTTAGGCTGCTAGGCTGCTAGCTTCACAAATTTCGAAGTGTCAAAAAAAAAAACAAAAAAAAAAAAAATAAAGTTCAATATTTAAAAAAATAAAGTTCGCGATTCTGAAAAGAGACGTGGAATAGTCTAAGTATGTGCTACCGACTCATTTCCGACGGTTTCTGTGCACTGCACTTCTTATCAATAAGATCTATTATCCTATTAAGTTTCATATCTAAAGCTTTTATAATTATTGAGAAATGGCCTGGACAAAAATAAAGTATGAAAATAAACAAATGACAATAACTCAAAAAATCAGAAATGCAGAGTACCAGTTCTTGGGCACTGCACTTCTTCTTAATGAGATCTATCATCCTATGAAGTTTCAAGTCCATAGCTTTTTTACTTTAGGAGAAATGGCCCGGACAAAAATAAAGTATGAAAATTAACAAAGGGCAATAACTCAAAAAATAAGAAATGCAGAGTACCAGTTCTTGTGCACTGCACTTCTTCTTAATGAGATCTATCATCCTATGAAGTTTCAAGTCCATAGCTTTTTTACTTTAGGAGAAATGGCCCGGACAAAAATAAAGTATGAAAATTAACATCGGGCAATAACTCAAAAAATAAGAAATGCAGAGTACCAGTTATTGTGCACTGCACTTCTTCTTAATGAGATCTATCATCCTATGAAGTTTCAAGTCCATAGATTTTATACTTTAGGAGTAATGGCCCGGACAAAAATGAAGTATGAAATTTAACAAAGGGCAATAACTCAAAAAATAGGAAGTGCAGAGTACCGGTTCTTATGCACTGCACTTCGGGTCATTTTAAGAAGCATGCATACCAAGTTTGAAGTCAATCAAACTTTTAATGACTGACTTATGCTCCGGACAAGCTTAAGGGGACGCCGACGCCGACGCCGACGACGACAATGACGCCGCTGACAAAAGTAACCCCTGTATGTCGCCTTTTTCAAGGCGACACAAAAAGACAATTTCTAATAAAGGAATGTACAAGTTTGTTTTGTGTATGTTTAGAACAACTTAAGCATGTACATAAAAAGTACTGGGAACATGGTATTTTAAAGGTATTATAAGTAGATTTCAACAATAATAAATGAATGATTTCAAAATTTAAAAAAAAAAAAAAAATGGGTCAAAGACAGAAAAGGTCGGGTTGCATTTCTATACCAAATATCATGATGCTGTAATGTTTTGAAAAATATTTACCACTGACCATTAATGTGGAAAATTTAAATAAGACAGTTAACAGGAAGTGGATGAATGAAAGACTTGAAATCGAATCCCACAGTATAAGACAATGTGTCAATGCTGTTTGTCAAATATCAAGAGCCTGTGATAAGTAGTTGCTAAAAAATCTGTCACAAAAATTTCCTACCATTGACCATTAATGTTGAAAATTTAACGGTAAATGGGGCTTGGCGAGCGACAGACATGAAATCAAATCCGACGGTATGGGACCACGTCAATACTGTATACCAAATAGCAAGAGGCTGAGATAAGTTGGTATGGAAGACAAAACTATGAAACTAAGAACGTTTGTTTACATAAATTCCATGAATAAGTTCAAGGTGGGTGGGGTGGGGGGGTAATTCTGGAAATAGTCATGCTTGTCACACAACATATGTGTAATGATAAGAAATATAAACAAGAGGGTCATGATGGCCCCGAAGTCGCTCACCTGTATATTGGCCCCTTGGAGCGGGGCCAGTTTAAACCCCAGGGCTTTTATTTGAACAATCTTGGTTGACACCCATTAGAAGATGTTTCATGCTAAACATCTAAGGTCTAGCTAGTTGGGTTTTTTAAAAGAAGATTTTTTCAAGTTTTTTTCTTTACACATATAGTTAAAAACAATGACACACCTGGGGCAGGACCAGTTTTGATCCCACGGCTTTTATTTGAACAATCTTTGTAGGCACTTACTAGACAATGTTTCATGCTTAATATCAGAACTCTAGCTATTCAGGTTTTTTCGAAGAAAATTTTTAAGTATTTGCTATACACGTATAAGGAAAATGAATGACCCCCGGGGCGGGGCAATTTTGACCCCAGGGCTTTTATTTGAACAAACTCTGAAGACACTCTCTAGAAGATGTTTCATGCTTAGTATCTAAACTCTAGCTATTTGATTTTTTCATCAAAAAAGATCTTTTAAGTTTTTGTTATATGCATAAAAGGAAAATGAATGACCCCCAGGGCGGGGCCAATTTTGACCTCTGGGCTCTTATTTGAACGAACTTGGTAGACATCCATTAGAACATATTTCATGCTAAATATCTTAGCTCTAGCTCTTTACATTCTTTAAAAGAATATTTTTTAAGTTTTTACTATGTGCATATAGGGAAAATCAATGACCCCCTGGGGCGGGGCCAATTTTGACCACAGGGCTTTTATTTGAACAAACTTGGTAGACAACCATTAGAAGATGTTTCATGCCAAATATCTAAGCTCTAGCTCTTTGGGTTCTTTAAAAGAATATTTTTTAAGTTTTCACTATATACATATAGAGAAAATCAATGACCCCCCAGGGCGGGGCCGATTTTAATTCTAGGAACAAAATTAGAACAAGTTTGGTTTTGGACCTATAGGTGATACCATTGACCAAATATCAAAGCTCTAGGCCATTTACTTTCAGACCAGAAGATTTTTCAAGTTTTCACTATATGTATGTAATGAGAATCAATGACCCCCCGGCCATTATTTGAACAATCTTGATAGAGGTCTACTACACAATGTTTCATGCCAAATATCTAATCTGTAGCCTTTGCCAAATCAGAGAAGAAGATTTTTTTAGATTTTACTATATACTTATAAGGAAAAACCTATGACCCCCCAGGGCGGGGCCAATTTTGACACTAGGGACAAAATTTGAACAACTTTGGTAGATGACCCATAATGATACCATATACAAAAAATCAAAGCTCTGGCCCATGTACTTTCAGACAAGAAGATTTTTTAATTTTGTGTTTTTTGAAATCCTTTTCTGGCCCTATGACCTACATATGCAACAGACCGGAACCATTTGAACAACTTTGAAAGGGGCCCACCCAAGGATCATTTCTGTAAAGTTTGGTCGATGTGCAGTCATTGGTTTCAGAGGAGATGTTGTTTATGTTAAAAGTTGACGATGCACGACGACGGACACAGGGCCATCACAATAGCTCACCCTGAGCATTGCTCAGGTGAGCTAAAAAGTAAATTAAATTACTTATAATATTTCTTTAAAAAAAAGTTCAAAGGGATATTAACCTGGAAATATTGCTTTAAGAGTAAATTATGAACCTAGTCACATAAGATGTAATTGATGATAAGGAATATGTATTTGAAGTAAGAGGTAGATGCCTTTGAAACTAAAAAAGTCATAGTAAAAAATAATATTTTTCAAGTAAAAAAAATATCTGTGTGGAAAAGTGTGTATGGTACGTTTTAACATAAATAACTATTGCTTCTTATGTAAGTAGAAAATGCTTCGTCTTTTTTTGTCAATGTTCCTCTTGGAATTGAATATGGCGGTATTTTGGCTACTATTACCCAGGATGTATCAAATCTTGGAAAATCCCGAAAACACATGATAACTTGCACTAGAACAACCCTAATAATACTGAATTTAACTGTATGACGTCTAAGTTACTTCTCCATCTATATTAAGCTCCATGACATGTCCAATCAATCAGTAAATCAATAAGTTGATTGATCATTAGAAATCAAAGAATGAATCATCGAGTCAATGAAATCGAGGAAATCAACACTCTGAAATTAAACAAATTACATCAACATAAAAATAGAGTTAAATCAATTTCCTTTGTCTGAAATGCATAATTATCATTTAAATAAAAACCTCCAAATTTATAGTCAATTACAATAAACCCATTCACACTTTCTATATGATCTACGTAAATAACCGAGGTATATCAAGTGAAAAAATACAAGTTGCTTCCCTTATCTTCGAGTAAAATTGTTATCTCTTATGCTTAAACAAAACCGCTAGTTTGTTCTGATTAAATGTCCGCTTTTAAAATGAATTACACCAATAGCAAACGTTGGATCTTAGCTTCATCACAGTATATTCTTCAACACATCTTTTGACTCCACAAAGTATTCAAATGAACAGTAAACCCTACCACATGTCAGACCATTTAACATACAATTTATATAGTGAGAAAACAACCGGTTATCTTTATTCCTAAAACTACTGATAAGAAAAGCCTCTCGTCTGCTAGTTCAGAAAGTGTTTATCGGTGTATTAAATATTTACAACACATTGAACAGCTTACTTAACCTGTAGGTATATTAACTTATAATATAGCTATATGCTTTCTATTGGCCGCCACAATCATAAGTTCATTTAATGAAGTTATTATAAAATACATCATAATCATAAATAAATTCTAAACTCACCAGTTTGTGGAATTGAATGTACAGTACCAATAAAAGCATTATCTTCTTCAAACACGCATACTGTCAAACTCTCTCTCTCTCTCTGCTGTAACTTCTGCAAAATATAATAAACACAATGTGCAAACTCACCAAAGTGATATGAATAAATTGTGAGATTAAGTAAACAGAGAGCTAGATTAACGGATTTTTCTGAAAACAATTCTCAAAGGTTCCAAATCACGAAAACTGATGACATTTCGAATCAGACCACACTCGTTACTTAATTAAAAAATCATCTACGACATACACTCTATAAAACACTAAGTTAAACCAAATGCAACTCAAAATAATACTGACCAACTATCAATAATCCATATTTCCAATAAATTAAGAACACTTTGAACTTTTTACAAACAAAGCCGCTTAAACATAGACAAAACTAGTGATATTACGGGAAAACAAGGGAAACAACTCAAACAACAACAAAAAATATATCAAGACACCTGAATTATCAACACTGTTACGCATCATGAAATCCAAATAAGAATTCCAAAACAGAATAAAATTAAGTTCAAATAATATTGGTAAGTTTTCTGTACCTACTTTTAGAAAATGATGAGATCAGCTTTCACGTCGAAAACTTTGTTTTGGTACGAACTACTTCCTTACGAAAAGTTAACGCGAATGAATACTAATGATATTTTGAAGTGATTATATCCTGAAAACATGCAAATAATATACGATAGAAATAACACAATCAAAAATGAACTACTGACAATTCAAAATCTTATCACTTGTGTGTGACAAGAAAATCTGTGTAGAACTACTTTGCGTTGTTTGGTACCCATTCTTCTATTGCAATCCCGCAAATTGTGATAGAACTGTATTCACTGCTAACGCAGCGAATACAATAATCAAAGCACTGAATGTACTGATGGGGAGGCTATGAGAGAATGTTTCAGACTTATAGTTTCTTTTCTTTTTGCTTAAAATATGCTACCAAAATAAAAAGATATGCACATTGCGCTATTTATCCTTACTGTTGTGTTCAACCATTCATATATATGGTTAATGTGGTTGACTATTCATTTTGTTAATATTCCAGAACATTTAATTGAGGTCTACATTCGGACTGTTAATCATGCAAATTTTGAAAAACCTAAACTGTCAATAATAAATGACATACCAGCAAGTATGACGACTGTTCATTATCAGATAACAATAACATTTTACAACTGACGGTTCCTTATCAAAATATTCTAGGACTGTTCATCATAAATACTTTATGTCATTTTAATATTATTGAATGATAATAACAACTGCAAGTGATGCAACATTTTTATTGAACATAAAAATTATACACGTTTAGATGTACTATAATTGAGATCAATAAGATACTGTCTTGTGATGAGTATTAATATTCATGATCTACGGACAGAAGGTTGTCTTCTCCAGAAGCAAATCTCGAATAAAATCACGTTTCAGAAAATTAATCCCATTTCATTACTGACGGCGTCGGAAAATATTAAAGCTAAATATTTCTTGAAAAAATACATCTCTGCAAAGCTTATTCAAAACTGAATCAACCTAAGTGAAAATTGATCAGGAAGTTATATCTTCTTTTTTTACCGCCAACACTCAACCAACTTATGGTAGTTAATCGATAGATTCTACGTGTATTTTTAAACCTCACTAGCTTGAAATATATACTGCGGAAAATCTGTTGTTAACAGGGTGTGCGGTTATTACGTAGGGTTTTCCCTGTCGACCATTTCCCGCAAATAGATGAGAACATCGAAGCCGTCAGTGCTATGAATGGTGTTATAAATGGCGTGTTTTGGAAGTTTTTGTTGAAACTTCTCCAAATACCTCCAGAGGCGTGCACGTCGCGGAGAAGGCACACGGAAGGTCATAGTCAAGTCATCATAAGTACCAGAGGTGATTGGTTGACCTGTCGTGACTTACTCTGGAGGTTTGGCGCTAATAGATGCCGTTTTTGTTGTCGTCAGTCAGAAAGTTGATGCCTTGACGGTATTGTCGTCTCCTTTACCACCAAAGAACGAAGAATGGGCTTCCAGGAAGAATCTGCTTGAAAAAGACGTCCCAGATGCTATAATCTCGGACATATGGTTATTCCGGCGCCGAGTATAAATAAACTTAAAACACACACACTTTTGTTGAAAACAAAACAACAACACATTTTCTGTAGTAATTTTTCAAGTGTTGTAAAATGAATAAGAAATTCCTCTTATGCCGCCCATTATTTTTAGAACACAACCATAAAAGTTCTTTTTTTTTTATTTTTCAAATAAACATTAATCACTTCAGCGCGCGCAAATATCGGTTTCAAATTAAAGTTTCGTAAGATATGTTAATGACTTCCCGATGCTCGACTGTAAGTAATTTGTATATGTATGCGTTTTTTTTTTTGTTTTTTTTTTTTTTGTTTTTGTTTTTTTAATTAAAGCTTCTTATTCTTTAATATTTTTTATGTATCTCATAATCTGTATTGAAAATTTGAATTTTATTACACATGGACTATCAAATTATGATGTATGCCCTAGAATTGAATAAACTTTCTAATTACACAATACGGGGTCATACTGATCTTTGCGTCTTTCTCTGAAATAATTATTTCCTTGTTAAAACATATTTGACCACATATTTCTGTCAATTAACTGTTCACTTTACTTCCGATTTTGTTGTACGGAAACACATGTTTCTATTTGTGTTTTCTAATCAATTCGAATCTATAATCAGTTTAATGGGATCACCACCGGGTAAACGACTACTAGGTACTTTGGTCATGTTTTTTACCACAAATATTTGAATGTTTCTATTGGGATTAAAATGAGCATAGTTAACTAAACAACTGTTTGTATAAATTCCTGACCTGTCTAATTCTAATTATGAGATTAGTGAATATATAAGACTTTCACTACAAAATATTCCTAAACAAAAGAGCACATGTTAAAATTTATTCCTATACAAATAAAAGATCAGAGTAGGGATCTGTCAATTGCCAAAGATACTTTTATGTTAAAAGTTTGATTAATGAATTATGTAAGATGAAAATATAAGTATTGCTTTTTTTATTTTGCTAATGTAAAATGTAATATTGTGCTGGAATTTTGTCGGAGGTCCTTAGGGGTTTTGTAGTTAAATAGTTTTTTTTCGGCGATAATGGTTAAAGAATATAATGTTCTCAAACTATATGTTCATCACCATCAGTGAATTTTTAGTTAAATGTATGCAAAATATTTACTAAACAGCTATATGATTTAGCGGTTTATGAGCGTTTTCCGCGTACAGCCTCCTGGGGTGTACAAATAAGTTAGTTTTCCTTAGTTATCACGCAAGCATGATCCATGTCTCTGATGTAAGCGACAGTTTACAATTATTTGTCTTTAAAAATATTAAGGACTATTAATAGTTTATAACAACAAAAGAACATGCATGATATTGAGAATACGGTGTTGCAACGTTCTAGTTAATGACCCGTCATAAACAGTTGGTCGCTGCGTAGTAATTGGAAAATTGTTATCAAAAATAATAAAGAATATTTGCCACTGAATTAAAGCATTTACTTATAAATTTTCATTTATGCTTTTGTTAAAAAAATATTGATAAAGTTATTGTTTTGAATGGTTTTCATACCAGAACTATTTATTACAGACGTACGTATGCCTAAACCTGATTACCGCGGCAGTATGACGTCACGGAGTAGTGATTTAAACAAAAATCAAGAATTTTTCAGAGAATTATTATCTTTACAAATTGCAGATATGAAATTAAAGAATGAAAATATTTTCATATTGTAAATGTCTGTGATGAGTGATGAGTCAGCTTAGAAAAAATCAAGGTACTATTTTTTGACCTGATTACCGCGGCAGTATGACGTCACGGAGTAGTGATTTAAACAAAAATCAAGAATTTTTCAGAGAATTATTATCTTTACAAATTGCAGATATGAAATTAAAGAATGAAAATATTTTCATATTGTAAATGTCTGTGATGAGTGATGAGTCAGCTTAGAAAAAATCAAGGTACTATTTTTTGACCTGATTACCGCGGCAGTAAGATTTGACAGACGGTTATTAACATTGGGTCGGCATAGCCTCCCCAAAAATCACACTTTCGTATGAAGGTATGTTAAGATGTCATGTCTCTAGTCTGTTGAAAATTCGATACGATAATCTGACATTTTCTGTTCAATATTGTGAAAACTTAATAATTCTTCAATACTGTTGTAAGATCATGTCTGCCTATATCTGTATCAAATTTATCGGTGCATAGCGTAAAATACCTTTGCAAAACGGACACCTTTTTTACAAAATAATTTGTAGTTGTATCAATTGTAACTCGATTTTGAAAAGTTTTTGATGGAGAAGAATGATACTTAGGTGCAAATATAGAAAATACATTCCGTAGACATTTCCTCATCGGCGATAAAGAAACGCAGGGGTAAAGTTCCGCGGCGCTGAACATAAAATGACTAAACGGAACGCATAACCTACTTGCAAAAATATATTGTAGCTTAACCATTTATAATATTATTTTAAAAATTTAATGTTAGGTTTCAAACAATAAAGCTCATTCTGTCCTCGTCGATTATTAAGAAAATGAATACAATAAAATTGGCACGTAAAAGACAAAAGTAATAACGGAATTGACGGAAATAATTGCTCATTACAAGTAACAACGGTAGGCATGCAATTTGCGCATTCCCGATAGCGAAAGACCTTTTCAAAATTTGTAATTTTTTCTCTTTTTTTAAGAAAAAAGTCATTCCTGATTAATACAGGGTCCAGTGGAGGTTACACTGGAATATTGAATTTTGTATCAAAAATAGTAATCACTCCCATTTCGAACTCACGTGAACAAGTTAATAAGCATGCTAAGGCAATACTAGAACACGTTGTCATATGGGTGTGCGATCACGTGTTTCAATGTATATTGCATTTGATACAGCTTTTCGGAATTTGTAGATGCTTATGATTAGTACTAAAATGCGACCGAAAAATGCAGCCTTAATAGAATTGTATTACATTTCCATTTTTATGAAACCAATGAGTGACCTAAGTTGTAAACAAGAAATGTTGTAGGACGTTATTGGCATACCTAGCACATAATTTAAATAGTTTAACCAATATTCAGCCTGCAATGAAAATACAACTGCGTCGTATCATATTTTATTTTCAACTGCGTCGTATCATTTCGTAAAATCATTATTTTCTTGGAAAATAAACATCTCTTTTAAATGAAAGTTTAGTAAATGATGCAAAATTATGTTTTGACGTTTATGGTGAACTCTGAAAACGAGTATATAATTGATTTTAAGGAAAAACGATAGATAAAGCAATATGAACTGCGTCGTATCCACACATTTTCATAAAAATTCTGCCTCGCTTCGAGTTGCAAGTTCGCTATAACTT